GGGGAAAAAGAAAAAAGAAGAGTAGAGAGGGATATACTGCGAAGAAATGACCGCCTTCTTTTTTACGAGAGGGGTAAAGGGGGGGGGGGGGGCTTTGATTGCAACCATCATCTTTTTTTAAGCAGCCCCCCCCAATGGCTGCCCCTGAAGAAACAACCTTTTTCCCCTCTCTGCAGTTGATCAGAATTTGCCTCTTTAAAATGCAGAATACTAGATTCTAGACACCCTCGTGTCTATTTTTATTTCGTGTGGTAGCCTATAAAGCTGTTTCTGGCCTCTTTGTGAAAGAATACAAACTTCCGTGTTTCTCCTGAGGGTGGTCCTCCTTCCTCGCTGCCAGGGGTACAAAGCAGCAGCAGCAGCTTTCTGAATCGAGCAAATTTGGAATCCTGCTGGCTTCCTTGTTCCCCTAAGCGGCCCTTAATTGCACTCCACCATCTCAGCTGGACTCCTTCCTTGGGAGCTTTTGAGCATTTATCATGAGCCAGGTGTAGAATTTGGGCTTTTGAACCAAACCAAACTGGGAATTTGGGGATGCTGTGAAGCGGAGAAGAGTGGGAAGTGGAAGGATGTGATTGCCCCCCCCAAAAGCGTGCATTGGAATTGCTTCGCCACGCTCTTGTGCAATTCGCTTTTTGCAACGAGCCGCATAGCCTTTTCCCATCCAAATTGTGCACCTGCTGCAGGAGCCCGCGTGGCTTTGAGTATTATTCCGCCCGCCAACTTGTCTGCAAGACCTTTCTTTTTAAAGGTAATGAAATGTGCAGAAGGGCCGAGACGCCCAGGTGAGAACTGCGGTGAACAGAGTACAGCTTTCCTATCCGTTTTCTTCTTCCTTCCAGGACGCACCGTTCCATTTCACGCAGCAGATTTCCCTTCCTAGCCAGCCAAGAACATTTTGGCGTTCTGCGGATGTTTATCAAGCGTACCCACGTTTTGTGGAGCCGCGCAGGGTCGCTTTCATGTTTTCCCCCAGCCCCGTTCCTTTCGTTCTCAGTTTCGCATTATTGCTCTTGTGCTTCTGCAAAACGTCTTGTGGCCCGTTTCGGCTACAGTTGTGCCCGCCGTTACGGGCTGAGCGGGGAGGTCAAACCTGGGAGGCTGCTGCAGAGCGGCGAAGAAACAAGCCTGCCCAGGGAAGAACGGCTTGGCTGTGCATTGCGCGGGTGTCTTTTGCAAAGCTTTTCCTTCGCGCCACGTAACCCTGCCCCTCTTTTACTAGCCTGGCTGACTTTCCAGCTGCAGCGGTCTTAATGTGAGCTCTCTTCAAGAAAAGGCTAAGGGTGCCATTAAATTTAAGCCTAGCCATTTTCGTCAGTGTTCACTCGCTTTCTTTGGGTCGAAAACCCGTAGCTGGTCTTCTGAAACCGTAGGGCCCCCGTGACTGAGGATAGACCTCTCCAGCTGGTTCCCAACCATGCGTGGTCATCTAAGGTGCCTGGAGCGATCCTTCTGGGACGCTTGCGGGTGTCCTCTTCATGGACGGGGCTTGTTTCAGGAGGGAAGTACTAGGGGACCTCCTGTGCCCACTTGGAGGGTGCGTAATGACTCCAGAACAGCAGCCTTCTCCAATCTGGCACCATTCAGGGGCAAAGATTCACATGCTCGTGCAGATGACCAGGGATAATGGAGTGCTGTGCTCCCAAGACTTCTATGGAGAAGGAAGCTGCCGCTGATGGTGTTTGTAGTCACGCCCACGTTATTTAAGCATTTTGCTTGAAAACTTCTTGTTGATCTTCTTAGGTTGCTCCTCTGCATTAACCCGTTTCCTTTTCAACCCCTTAGAAGCAGATTAATTGCACAACATTTGCACAGGCAACAGGGTTGTGATCTTTATAACTACTGAGTGAAATCTGACTCCTTAGAAATCTATATTTTCTTTTAATATAGTTTTTTTTATAAAAGAAAAAAATAACAAAGTCTTTAAGCTAAGGGAAAAAAAATAAACGTAATTTTAAAAGCTTTTTTGTTACATTTGAAAAAAATATTTTTACTAATTTAATTATTGTGCTATATTTTAAACGAGCGAATATCAGTACAGAAAGTGCAGTTTTATTAGCCTAATGTATGCATTTGTCCGTATAGAGTTGTTCGAAGGTTTGTGCTGCTTTGGGTTGGTTTTTTTTTATGAGTTCTGTAGTAAAAAGAGTCAATTCTGCCTTGTAAAAAGATGTGTGATGCAGTTTGTTCAGTCCGTCTTTTTTACTGTTTCCCCCACTCTGGATTTGTTACTGTTCATTATAAACCATCGCTATTCCATTTTGAATGTCCTGGTTTTGATTTGAACAAAGTTTTCTGAATTTCAAGCAAACTTGAGTGTTTCGTTGGTTGGCGCTTCTCCCAGAGAACCTTCCCTTCCTGATCCTTTCCCAGTCGGAAAAGAAAATCGGGATTACTTTATGCAGCTCCATATGGGTGAAGAGGGGATACGGTCGCAAGTGGAGAAAAGGCGGGTGCTGTGTACACAATAGAGCAGTGTTTCTCAACCTCGGCCGCTTTAAGACGTGTGGACTTCAACTCCCAGAATTCCCCAGCTAGCCGTGCTGGCGGGGGAATTCT